GTATCAAGGTGTGTCCCAACATGGCCACAATGTGCTTAGACGTGTAAAAAGGATGTGTGTTCCCGCGGCTGTTAAGACTTTCTTTTATAAATTACACACGAATACCTTGCCAGTTAAGGCTTGGCTTAAAGAAAGAGGGATCTATGTGCCATGGTCGGTAAATTGCCTTCTATGTAAAAAACCTGAGACTATTGAACATGTGTTTATTTTTTGTTGGGACGCGGTATTTTTCTGGGATGTCCTCCAACGCACTCTAATGAAAGAATTTCCTGTAACCCCAACAGTGATACGTTTCCTTAGTGTGGATAATGATAATGAAGTTCCTTATGACATGATTATGTTGTTAGCTTTGTGCCGCATTTGGAGATCACGTATGGCTGTTCGACATGCTGACCTCGACGCAAAAGAAGTGCGGATATATTTCTTCAACCTTGTAAAACAAGTACAGAGTGTGTATTTGAACTGTGAACCTGAACCGGAGTGGACTAGTATTTTAAAATCACTCCTCGAAATGCGTGATTTTTAATACGCTGTGCAAAAGAGCTGTGCAGTGCTGTTAGAATGACAGCACTGCACAGCTCTTGAATTTTGCTGTAACTATCATGCAATAAAGAAAAAAAAAAGGGGGGATCGGTGGCCGAGTGGGCTGGCGCACACCAGCTCGGAGCACGTGGAGCGAAAGCTCGTGCTGCAGACCCCAGGGATCCTGGGTTCGAGCCCCACCCCTGCCTGTTTCGATCTGGATGAGCATCGTACCGGCGTGCGGTCGTGTATCACTACTGCGTGGTGCACGTTAAAGACCCCAGGCTAGCGGTCGTACTGCACTGGCTAAATTGCTCATCTACAGCTGGGAGACTCGTCGCCCCTGTGAGGCTGACCAAGTTCTAGGCTGTATAAACATACACTCAACCCAAAAAATGATCGTGTGAATCGGCTATTTAGCAGCTCAAGTTTCGGTTGAAATGTTATATTCTCAACACGCGCTTCAGTAATAGCAGAATATCGCTGGAAGACGAAGAACGGTATGGCGACCTTATTCGACCTCTCCTTGACTTAAGTGATGTTCTTCCAATCTTGGGGGGCCAATACTACTCAAAAGAGCACGCATACCTCACTGCTGTTTGACATAAGCCTTCTGGATGATTCCAGAAGTCTGTAGTTAAGATCTACCTTGTGACGTAAAATTAATGTTCGCAATCGCTTTGGTTTGCAGTCTATTGAGAGATCATCATTGTGCTCGTGCGTGTGATCAAACAGACTCCTACAGCGCAGTTCCAACTGTACACCATCTGTTGCATAATGACCCAGGAAGGTCACTAACTTCTACTGCTGCGCAATCATCACTGTGCTCTCCTCTTTTAACTTTACAAAATCGATATCGCCACGTTTTGATCACACATTGAATGTGTTTAGGAATGCCATTGCATGTATCTCTATGCATTTTTCGGGAAGTAAGGCGTTGTGTATGTAATAATTTAGAAGAATTTTATTTACTTATTCTCTTTCTGCTCATTTCGTGTATCTGGCTGCATATATATTGTTGAGCACACAGTCTTCTGGGCATTACCCACGACCCGGTGTTTCACGCTTCCAACCAACAAACAAAATAGCTTCTTTCCGGTGACCCAACAGCTGCTTTATTTTCGAATATCGGTCTCAAGCTGTTAGCTGATTTGAGAGAGCCTCGAACAATTTCATCTATTTTTATGTTGATTAAAATAATTACGCGTTCCTGACATATTTAACATCTCAAGTTTATGGAAGTCTGTTATGGCCCCTTTTATGTGGTGATTCAACATTGTTATATGTCTGTAGACTGGAAAAAAAAACATACAGCGGCGCGTGGAGGAACTATGACGATTGCGCACGTAGACGGTCTGAAAAGGATTGTCCAGTGATATCCGTAAGTTACTAATGGCGAATTTCATCGGTCATCTTGGAGCGCGCCGGGATCGACTTTTCTGGAGCGCGCCTTATTTTACTGAACGGTCGGGATCGGGACGGACGTGTTCCACTCGTCGCTTTGGATCAGCTCCCACGCCAGATTGCATGCCTGGCGAGCCCTCGGCGCGCACACGTGACTTTCTTTCTCGCCGGGCATCTCGCCACGGAAAAGATCCGGGATCTCTGAAAGGGGGTTCCCGGGAAGGTGAATGACGGGAAGGCATCCGCCGATCCTGGAGAAGTGGTCATGTTTCACGGGGGATCTGGGGGCACAGCGACTTTGTTCGAATCACGTGCTCCACCTCAGATCTAGTCTACTGATCTCTGCGCTTTCCGAAAAGACCGGTAAAATTCGCAATTAGTTTCTATTCTGGTCATCTAGAAGTGGACTGAATAAAGTCAGATGTGACATCGATTTTAGTTGAACACGCACCAGTATTCGTTCAATCAATTATAAGCGTCAATACTGAACTTGGCGCGAAATTTCGCAAGTAGGCATGGCTGGTCGTGACGTGACGTTCCATTAGGCATGGTGACATCAGGGTCGCGAGGGTTACTTTTTCCCGCTTTTGATTAGCGTGGTTTATGTTGCGTACGAAGATCATCGTCGAAGAACTAAGCTTCCCTCAAACCGTAAATCTTGACTTTCTTAGAATGAAGTTATTTTACTGAGACAGCACTCAAGAGCTTTCGGGTATTTCTGTGCATATATTGTTACATAACAGCTTCCGCTATGGCCAACGAAAACAGTGTGCGTTCTGCGGGTGTAATCAGAGCAATTGGGTTCTTTTTGATATTAAATTACATGTGCGGCGAATAATTTCAATTTCGGATATTTTGCGGGTGATATTCCTAAAAGCCAGGACAATATAATGTAATTGTTTTTTGAAAGAAAAACTTTTGCCGGACCATCCTGATAACTAGCTGCAATGTGAATTTTAATAAGAAATACTATTTTCTTATGTTCAACAAAAATTACCGATTCCCAAATTGAATTGACTGGCATCTCGTCGAAAACAAAGCTAAAACGCCAAGCTGTACCGAAAAAGTTCACTTGGGTACGCGCTATTTTAGGCCAAAGTCCATCTCAGTACGAAAGTTTCTTTAGATTAGAGCGGACAGTTGTGATCACTCATGTCTTCATGATTATTCGCCAGCATCAAGGTGCTGAGTGTAAGCTATGTTGATGAGGAAAACAACACTCGTGATTGCCACTCAATGTTTCTATAAATACAGTCAAACCCGTTTATAACGAACAGCAGGAAACGCTACGAACAGTTCGTTATAGCACGGAATTCGGTGTAGCAAACTTCATTTACAACGAACCTCCACGTTGCGTTCGTTGTAATGCGAGAGATTCTCTTTGTTTCTCATCTTTTTTGCTTCCGCGTTTTAACAACGCAATCAAAATATTTTTTATTTTTATTTTGCATGCGGGCAGAGCTTGTTCTTTTAGCTTATCTCCCCTTCTGAATCGCTTGTTTGCGGGCAACAGTTTTGGGATAAAAAGTTTCACTTTTCTGTGCGCGCGTGGAGAGCGTATTTTTAGCTCTCTCCCATTCTGAATTGCTTCACTTCGTTCAATTTTGTTGGCCACTTGAATTTTTCGGAATTTTCTTTTTTTCCTACCTTTCTTTCTTTTTTCTTTTCTTTTTTTTTTTGGGGGGGGGGGGAGGGGGAGGGACCGGCTGGAAGACGATTGTTTGCGCGTTTTTGAAAGCCTTCGCCGGGCGGAAAAGTTCGATATAGTCAGTGTGTTGTCCGTTATAAAAAAAGTACTTTTTAAAGGCATATTTTGTTTTATTTTTCCGTGAGTTAGATGTCGACAATATTTCACAGTACTTGGGTTCGTTCAAACTGGTTTGACAGTAATTGACTGAAAGGGCTCCTCCTATAACTTTTGAGATTTTTTTGAAAATATTAATGCTTTTAGCTGAGTTGCGTCGCCATCATATATGTTGTGGAACGTATTTTGTAAACTCAACTTCACGATATATATGGCGAGGAGGTACCCAGTCCACGCTTTGTTGCACTCTGATTAATTCCTAAGTTAAAGAGCCCAAATAGGATTCAACTTTTAATACTGCAACTCAAAGTTGTTCAATCACGGGTATTTTAGGCAACCTACAAGACTCGTAACATTTCGATTCAGGTAAAATATATGCGAATAGGTAAACAAATACACTTTAACGCGTATAAACACGACGTTTTGTAAAATAATCTAGTTTTTTTTTTTTAATTAAATGACGCAAGCTGTTATCTTTGTTACCTGAAAACAAAAATAGATAGTACGAACGATAAAAAGCTATATAATTACTCGTTTCACGTTTTAAATTGTGCCTATTGGCAAAACAACGAGGAAAATATAGTCTCAATTTTGTAGTTCAAACCGATGCGAAGACGGTGCGAATCGTCATGTTTGTTTCCCACATCTGAACCGGAACTGAACCGTAAGCCGTGAGCACCAAACCCGAACCGAACCGATAAAACCATTCTGTTCGACACTCTGCTCAAGACATGTGCCGCAGCGCACCACGACTCCGAAACCTCAAGGAACGTGTTTTGATAAGATACAGCTTTAATGGCGGGTGTAACCTTCGAAGTGAACACGAGCACGCAAAACAATTAGCGAGACGGACGGCCGCCTAGTGCTTGCTTTGAGTGTGTGGGTCGTAGCAGCCCTGCGTGCCTCGAACGAGTTCACGGCACAGCCGCCTTGGTTGTGCTTCATCGTAGCGGTCCTCGTCTAACTGGTCTATACGATTACGCAGCTCGGCTGCGTAATCGTATAATTACGGCGGCTAATTCCCAGATATCGCACCCCAAGTGGTGCCTCAAAATTGTTTTCTTTTTTGCTCCCCAAGTGTACTGGAAGAAACGGAACACGAGAAAAGAATAGTGCAGTTGCATATCGATTCTATGCTTAGTCGTGTGCAGCCGGGGCGTTAAAGAATAAGGTGCCGGTCAGAAACTCTGCACGGCGGATGTGACTCATAGTTTCGGTTTCCTGCGTCTGCTCACCCTCCCCTCCCTTCTACCGCATTCAGAAGCTCGCCTATCGCAAGGCGGCGGAAGCAAGCCCACCGCCCGGTTGCGCATAGAATTCTCCAGTTACGCAAGCGCCGCCCGACGACGAACGAACTCTTCGCGCCGTTGGGAACATCTGTCTGGTTCCGACTTCCTACGCGTTATTTTGCGTCGCCCGGTCGTTCAGCCGATCCAGATAACTGCCCAATTTGCTCCGTTTCATGTACCAAGTTATTAGAATGTCTACTGGAGGTGGTGAGTGTGAGACAAAAACCACACCTGAGGCTTTGCCGACGACGAGACAGATCAAGAGGGAGATCATCCGCTACGCGAAATATGCCGTCCCGTGCACAGCGATCGCCGCTCTCGTCGTGGCGTTTGTCCTCCTGTACAAGTCGGCAACATCGACAACCAAGGTAAGAATGGAAATATCACCCTTATGCATCTGAAGGTCTCTCTAAACAATGGTGAGAGTTACGATCCGGAGAATAGCTATGTTTCAATTTGCCTTGGCTCCTTACATTATACCCGCGTTCACTTGAAGTACGAGTGTAGCACAGCTACAAGTGCGAATTCGCGGCTTTCAGATCTCCCCGCAAGCATTCTCGTGCAGCGCAAGTATTTTTTAGGGTAACATACAATTTCTTGTGGCTTGCGCTTCGCTTCCTCTTTAAATAAAAAGAAATCTAGTGGCGACTGCGCAATCAAGGACTCTACACCATTTGTTTGCGAGGGATCTTGTGAAAAACGTGAATATTGCCCTTTGATTCCTTTCTTTGTTTTGTGTTTGAGTACTATTGTGTCTTGTTTATTTTTTCTTGTGTCACTACTGTTTGTGTAAGAGAGGGAGCGAGGACTCGCAAAGGCAGGAGGTAGCTTTTTACCTCGATCTCGCTCCATGATTTGTTTAATGGAAATAAACAATAATAATATTATCTTTTGACATTGACAGGTATTTTAGAAGGCTGTGAAGGCGTGTTTCATCTTTGATAGACCGGCAATTTATATAACAAATAATTGGTGTATTGAAAGTATTCCGTAGACAGTCAGGGACGACTTTCTGCGGAATTTACGAAAAGAGTAGCCGAGCGCCTGCCTAGCTTTAATTGGTGCTAGATGGAGCCCGCGCTCCTTGTACACTTGGCTGAATCGGCAAAGAAAGTTGACACCAATTATAGCGCTGTTAATGTAAACAAATTCACGGTGTCTGTGTTTTGTCACACCTTGCGTAAAACCAGATATTCCATTCAGGCGTTTCCAAACAAATTACGGCGCGCGGGCAAGATACGGCCCGCGTTCCTACCAATGGCTTCCATCCTGCTGCGAGTTTCCACCACTGCTAACGTCGCCAAAAAGAAAAAGCGCGCGCGTAAAATAAACACGCTGCGTCGCTCAGCAAACTCATCACATCCGTTCTGATCACTAGCAGATGGTACGTGTCATATAACATAGTACATGTATTGCACGGTGTCATCACTGGCATCACTATTCTTAACCACCTGTGTCTGCGTAACTATGTCAAACTTCCTTTGAGTTCTCATGTATACACGCTTAGTGTTACATCTGAGAACTATTTCATAGTGCCATCACCAGTTCTACCATTATCCTTATTCTTCTGCCTTTCGTAAAAATTTAGACTTCTTCTGCACGCGGATATACGCCCCCCGACGTTTCTGGTTCAAGCTTATTGCATGATGTCATAATTACTTAAAAATTGGATTTCAAAATAACATGTATACATTAAACCCCTTCAGACGTTTGTAAAACTCACTCTTGAATTTTTAACTTAAGACCGTCTCTAGAGTTACCTATTATATTTGTTTTACTTATCTAGTTTCTGGCCCCCGAGACAGCGACAGCTCCCTGCATTATACGGTGGGAACCTAGCGAATGATGAGGTTGATATGTCCTCGACCACAAAAATAGTATCTGATGGGTGAAAAAAGTATGTCACCAAACATCCCGGGTCACAAGCTTGGAAATTAACTTTCCAAGCATCACCTTTTGCCAATGGAATTCCGCAGACGCAAATAAGTGGCGACATCCGTGCTCCACAAGAAGCTAGCCGCGTGGTCTTCCTTCGCGAAAAATGCGGAAATCCTTCGATTTCTTTTTCTAGATAAGGTTGGATGTTTCCCTGCAGTCTGCTCAGCGCCGCTCGCTGTTTTACGCTGGATTGTATGCCTGCGAGCCTACAAGTCATAATAACTTTCTAACTTTCATTTCTAGGCAGCGACGTTTATTATTTATGCTGGCTCGTGCTTTATTTTGAAAGAAAAGGGGAGCGAACGTGCGGTCTAGTTTCTCTCTTATCAGCTACGCGAGAGCTCCAGCCCTGCTGCGTAGGCTGCGTCGCCGGCTCCACCGCATGGCGCTGTCGCTTTTCAAAACAGCTGCTTTCGTGATTTAATATATTTCGCTGTTAAAACAGGGATGTCCTCTATGAACAAGGAAGAAAACAGTTGATAACGTGGAAATAATATTGTATGTTAAATCCGCAGTCGCTTTGCTATTACATCATACAAAAAACACTATGTTCGTTGCTGAAATGATGACATAATTATCTGCGGGCACATATAAAACATGTTGGACACATTATTACTTCAGCCCCATGTCTTCTGCTTCCAACTTTTTTGCCAAGAGTTTTTGTATGATCCGTGTGACAGTCATAGGAGGAGGAAACTCGACTAAGAAAGTGTCGCCAGGCTATATGGTGTATAGTGTGTTAGCTGTGTGAACGCAGTAAATACAAACAATGGTAATTCCTGAAGATTTACACAGCGAGAGTTTGATCTTGCACTGAGATCTAGGAATCGGCAAGGCGTCAGCGGGAGGGTTATCACTGCACTTGTTCTAACGTTGTTGAAGTGCAATTTACGTGGTGCAGTGCGACTGCTAACGCAACACCTTTAAGACGGCGGTCCCGTGGCCACGACCATAATACCGGGGGCAGCTGTTCTAACGCTCCTGTTTGCGGTAACATTATTGTGTATGTGCGCGTGTGACTTATTTGGTTTCTTTCTGCAAAGGAATGACCAATTTATGATCACTGACTCAGTGCAGAATGCGGCAAGCATTCCCCAAGCCTTAACGCTCGATAAAGAAGCAAAAACGTGCAAAGTTTGATATCTTCAACGACGCGCCGTTCAAAGCATTCAAAGTTTCTAGAATTATCATGCACTGAAATCGAGTTCGTATTTTTAATGAACAGAAGAAGGACCCGTATGGTTCCGTGTTTACGTGTTTTTTTAATTAGTACATTCATCTTTTTTAATGTTTGTTGAAAAGGAGTCATTATTATGCGAGTTTGAACTTTCGTAACTCAGTTTCCCATCATGACGCAGCAACAACACATAAGGTTACGCTCCTGGTACACAAAAGAAATCAGCATAAAAAATTTATTAGAAGTGAAACGCTAGCAGTTCATCGTAAACACCACGTTATTATGACACAATTTTAAAGAAATGCCTTTCACGCGTTCCTGTTTTTTTTTTCTTTTCAGATAGCATTCTGACATCTGATTGCATTTTTTATAACCTGTATGCTAAAGTCACCAGGCTGCTTCTCTGTAGGGCTAGCTTGATTGTATTTATGTTCACAATTTTTTAAATAATTTTAAATCATGAGGCTATTTTGAAGCTCGACTCTGTACGCGAGAAACCGGTTTCAAAGAAGAGGACAGCAGTTTAAATGGCGACTTTGGAATTTCAGCTTTTCTCGTTCTAGTTAAAATCAGTCTCCATACTTGTAATTTTTTTTAAAGCGGACGACTTTGTCCTAAATATCAAAAAGGACTTATATTGTAGCAGACGACGCGCACTTGCTCCATCTTTTGAAAGATTGCTGAAATACGAGGTTGAGAGGTTCAAAAAAGGTGGCGCTGAAACTGTTTCTCACGCAGATGATTCTTGTCTCAAATATTTGCTCGCGCTTCTTCCTAGATTCTGCAAAAAATCAACTAAACTTGCAAAAAAAAAAAAAAATCAAGAAGCGTTTTCCAACGGTCACAAGCGAGTTCTCGAAAACACCTACTGCTTATAATAAGTTATTGAATGCTTCCCGCCATCTTGCGACACACACCTCGAAAGGTGCAAATATTGAACTACCTCTGATAGCGACGACGAAGTGGAATTTCGTTTCCTTCTCTACAAGATAAACAAACAGACATTTTTTGAGGGTCCAGCTTTTCAACCGTGCCTGTTCTGTTCTAGCCGCCATCCTGAGGGGATTCTTAAAGGGGCGATGCAACAATTTTTGTACTTCGAGCATATACCGCTTTGAACGGATTTCTGACGTTAATGACCTATGAAGCACGCGTTCGTTTTTCACCCCACGCAATAGAAGTCCCAGAAAAATATTAAAGAAAAACGAGCAGCGTTCGCCCCCTCAACTCGCAGCCAGAACAAGCGGCCACGTGATCTGGGGCCGATTATATGTCACCAATGTTGATCATAGCCACGCGCTGAGGTTGGAAAAGTACAGGACACGCGCTGAGTTCCAGACATTTGTTATAGTTCGGCTATTGTCGTCGTTGCAACGATTGAACAAGGGCCACTACCCGAATGCTTCTCGAGCTAGTTATTATCACGAGCCCAAATCGAGACCCCAGGCAATGTTGGGGTCCAATCAATGAACCCCATTAAAATATCATCATTGGGGTGTACTGCGATCCCCAAGTTACGTCATCAAATTTTGCAATGCAGAAATTGAATGAAAATGATCGCTTTTGTCCTTGAAATTACACCGAAACAAAGGAGTTTCTTGACCAGTGGCGTTGTGTGCGAGTACCCTTCACTGTTAGAAAAACTCCTGTCAAAGTATGGGACACATACATACTAACCTTGTTGCCACAACATGTACTGTATTACCGGACTACAGAACATGTTCCATACTTCTTTAGTACGGGACATGTTGTTGTTGTATGGGCAGCCACAGTAAGTTCCATACACCATCATCACGGAACAGGTAGTATATGCCACAGGAAATGTGCCATCATGGCACACAGCAGCACATGTTCGGTTGCAAGCCATGCTAGAACATGTACCATTTTCACGAAGTACATCACATGTTCCAATGCGTCCAAAATGACACAGGTTAAATTTCTTGTACTTACGGAAAAAGTTCAGTCTTGTTTGTGATGGTACTCGCCCCATTTTATGTTACTACCGCTATTCACGAGTACATCCGGGCTTTGTATGTCACATGCCAAGCTTCTCCTTAAAAAAGTTGATATGTGACATGCAAAACAGGGATGTACTGACAGTTTGCAGGCGCAACTTGATGCAAGTCTTTGCAACATAAAATTACCTGCAATGCGGAAATTTTCCCGAAACTTGTATGGAAAATTTGAACTGTCGTATCTAATGCGAGCACTAACCTGAAAAACAGAACAATGAATATGTGACATATATACTTA